AAAAGTTCACTTCTCAGCTTGCTGTGGATATTATTCGTGAGAACTTCCCTGAACTCGCTTCTATTCCAAAGGGGGACCCTTCCACAGCCCTTGATTTCGGAAATAGTCCTCAGATCGACAATAAGAAGACTAGAGCTTTGGTTGGACCCTTCATTGGCTTGAAGCAATCAGTTATTGACACTGTTCAACAAGTCCTTGAGAATAACTAGATATAGGCTCAGTAATTAGAGTTAAAGATTAAATATATATGCCTTTGTTTTGATGGTTTGTAGTGATGAAGTACTGCATAAGTCTACAAATATTGATCTAGTTCGTCAATTGAACTCCTGAAGTAACTTTTTGGAAACTATTGTCAGGAAGATGAAAGAATCAATTGATATACCAGTGTTACAAAACTTTTCAGGACAATAAATAAAAACCTCCATGTCGGTTCCTAAATTTTGCAGGCAAAAACCTTTAATATGTACTTTTTATTTTGACTGTTCTTCTAGACGCCTTGGTATTACAAATGAAGGCAACCCTTCTATGGGTGTATGGGTCAAACCTTCGATGGGTGTGTGGATCAAACAGCAAATAGCTGTAAGACAAAACCCTTGAAATTCAAACTCGTCATGAGATTTACAAGGGTCTTGGGCACCCCCTAATTATTGAGAATAGAAGTATAGCGAAACTAGCTTTCGCAAAACCCCTCTAATTTCTGGCTGCAAAAAGTTTTTTCGGCAATGGTGAACGTTCGTAAATGTAACAACCCACGGATGATTGATAAGTACAATGCAAAGATCTCCAGGGAGTTTACCACCTGCTGGCTGAATCATTTTAATTGATAACTGCTTTTGGTGGCCTCATAAAACTCAAGTACAAAATTTTACTTTTCCAATTGTTTCAAGAGAAAGGTTTTATTTCAATTACTTTTCATTCAATACAGCAATACAGGTTTATTGAGGTTTTTATTTAGTCTGTCAAACAAACACTTGTAATCCTATAGAGCCACATTTGATCAGTTTTATGCTCAACCATTTAAAAGGGCGCTGGCATGGGCATTGTACCGGACTCCATACACTGGGTGCTCCTCAAGAATCTTATTGACGGCGACTACATCTTCTCTGGACAACTTCACAAGTCCCTTGTAGTTTCTGTCCACTTTCTCAGGAGTTGACCCAGAAGGAATAGGAATGATCTTGGTGACCTTGGGAATACCCAAGAAGTTTTCAAGGCCAGACAAACTTTCAAGATAGCTCAAAGCCAATCTTTCCAAAGTTAGGTTCTTTGACTTTGCAAAATTGTACAAAGCAGTCAAACGACCCTTATTCTTCTCGAAGTTTCCGGGTTGGAACCAATCATAAGTTCTTTTAAAGTCATGCTCCAGAAGGGTACTAAGGTAATCGGGGTGTTCTGCAGCATAGTTAGTCAACAAGCCTCTTCCCACTGGAGAATAGGCGAGAATTGGAATCTGGTGTTTGGAAGCTTCTGCTAAAACTCCGTTCTTAAGAATATCTTCCAGAAACAACGAGAATTCCACCTCGATAGCAGAAATGGGGGCCACCGAAGCAGCTTTTTTGATGGATTCTGCACTTACTTCACTCAACGCGACACCATCAATGTCACCAGCCTTGACTCTCTCATAGATTCGAGAAGTTACATCTTCAACAGTGTAGTTTTTGTCTACACGAGCAGCTTCATAGATGATCTTGGGCTTGACCTTCAAGTCCTTGAAGTAAGAAATGGTTTCATCAATACACTTGTTGAGGTTTTCAGGTGATGCGTCTGGAACCATGCTAGGCACCTTGAAAGCTCCTTTGACACAGATTACAATGTCTTTGTCTTGCTCTTGTTCACAAAATATTTTTGCCAATTTCAAGTTGTGAAACTCGGGGTTAAATTGGTAGAATTCACCGCAGTCTAAGAACTTAACACCATATGTGTCTTTGACGTGCTTTAAAGTTGCAACAGACTTGTCAAGAGGCTGGGGAGTTGCAGTGCCGGTCAAACTCATTGTACCGAAGCCTTTGGTGGTAATTGGGACTGGTTCCATGGTGGTGATGATTCTGTGGTGATCGTTTGGTGAAAATTAGGAATATTATGGTGGTGATAGTAAGTTGGTGGTTCTAAGGTTGCGAATTTATATAGATTCTGACGGGGCCGTCTGAAACTCTTTTGCTCCGTCTCCGTTTCGCAGCCATTTGCAATTTTTGGTCTTGCACAAGCTCGAAGTATGCTAGCAGACTGTCAAATGGGCACACATCCAAAAGACCTTTACCCTCTGAATTATAAGAAATTGGATAAGATGCGGAGAGTTTTGATGATGATTCTAGGGCCAAGATATTTGACGATGATGCTAGAGATCAGACTTTAACAGTGATTTATGTGAAATGAGGTTATGAGCTAAGTGATCTTAAAAAATGGTAAGTGACAGAATGATACGTGATAATTCCCCCTATTCCAGTTTCATCTGCAAAAATACAACAATATGACCCCTATAATCACTTCTGGTGCAGGGAATGTGAGCCAAGTGGAAATAAGTTTGGTGAACTAACCCTTCCCTTATTGAGCACAACCAAAATCTCGTTTTGTTCTGAAATTTAAACAAAAAGAGCAGTTAACTGTATGTATACATTAAGGGTAATAGACTCCAAAGAAAATCACCAAGTCTGGGTTCTAATTCTATATCTAGTTATTCTCAAGAAATTGTTGAACAGTGTCAATAACGGATTGTTTTACGCTGCTGAAGGGTTCAATCAAAGCCTTAGTGTTCTTGTTGTCGAACTGAGCAATGTTTCCGACAATAAGGGCTGTGTAAGGGTCTCCCTTTGGAATTGAAGCGAGTTCAGGGAAGTTCTCACGAATGATATCCACAGCAAGCCAAGAAGTGAACATTT